CCCGGTGGTCCAGTGGTTAGGACTCTGCGCTCTCAATGCCAAGGGCCTGGCTTCAGTCCCTGGTCCGGGAACTAAAATCCCACAAGCCGCGTGGCCAAAAAAAAAGGGTATTTTAAAAAATACATAATCACCATAATGTTTACTGCACTTAGAATATAGCAAATATTCAACATACAAATTAAGTAAATGAAGTAGCTAATAAATGCTTACCTTCCTTACTAGCTGAGAATTTAACAACACTGGTAAATTTCAAGGCAAACTCTTTAGTAATTGAAAAAAGAAGAAAGTCAGTTTTCATTAACAGGCCCAATTTTAGCCAGAAAACTCCTGTCCCTATTACCTCCAGTTCTGGAACAATGCCAACAACCTCCCTCCGAATGTCCATAACTTTTGGTTACCTCAACTCTGTGATATACCAAAAATGATGGAAAAGAAATACCTTTCTCTCCTTCCCTCTAATAAATGTCTAAAGAATATTTCTTCTTTCAAAGGTGGAAGAGCCAAAACTAGACATTTCGACCAAACGAGGTTGTGGTTCCAGCAATGCTACCACCAACAGCCTACCACTGTAGATCCATGCAACTCCTGGCACATGTACCTGGTAAGATCTTTTGCTCAAAGCAACAGATGGTGACTCTAGTTATGGTAAAGTCATCTTTCTACTTCATGAATGAACCTAAAAACTGCTGTCACACAATTCGATTATCACCAACAGAAGAGAACATATTAAGTTACAATCACAAGTCCAGTTAAAAAAATAAGGTATATCCTTTTTTTTTTTTTTTTTTCCGGTCGGTGGCCCTCTACTTTTGTAGCCCGTTTCGCTGAGCACAGGCTCCGACACGCAGGCTCAGCGGCCATGGCTCACGGGCCTAGCCGCTCCGCGGCATGTGGGATCTTCCCGGACCGGGGCGCGAACCCGCATCCCCTGCATCGGCAGGCTGACTCTCAACCACTGCGCCACCAGGGAAACCCGGTATATCCTTTTATACTTGACATTTTGACTTCAAGAGTTAAACTTCAATTCATTTAAAAATGCGAAACACAAATCAAAACTAAAATTACACTAAAAATTAAAAAACCAAAACAAACCAAAAAACTAATGATTCAACTTGTTTAATACTATACAGTAACTCAGTCAACCTTATCCATACACACCTTAATAGACTGTTATTAGATACATATAACTTCTCAATCAGTACCCATACAAAGACTATGTTTAAAAAATGAAAAACTATATTTTCCTCTTGAAGAAGAATGCCCTCTGGAGGAGAGGGAAGATACTTGGGAGCCTTGGATGTTGGTAATTCCACAAAGTCAATGTCCACTTTTGTTCACAGTCATACCTCCTGATCAACCACCTCCCATCAAGAGGAAGCTGGGGAGGTCCACACAGAGCACAGAACTGGGAGGGCTACAGTAGACTGAGGGAGAGGGAATAAAACATACCTTCAGTTGGCACATTCTTTTCCTATTCTAACTAATATCAATAACAAATCTAAGATTCTACCAAAAACTGTATAATCTTGGGCACTGGACAGCTGAATCAATCTCTTGAACCTTAGTTTCTATGCCTGCCAAATAGGAATAATAGTACCAACCTCAGAGAATAGTTGTAAGAAATAAGGAGCTGATGTTTGCACATAGTAAATGCTCAATAAATGGTAGCTTATATCCTTAAGACTAAACAAGTAGTTTATAAAACCAAATTTAATAATTGACACTGTAGGGGATGAAGAGCATTCTAAGCCGAAGCCATAATGTCAAATTAAGACTTATCAACAAAAATTTAAGGGAAACATCATAAAGGGCCTAAACAAGGACAATACAATAAAAAAAAAAAAACAATATAAAAAAAAAAAAAAAATTAAATAAATAAACAAGGACAATATAGAGAAATACAGCCTTGTTCAAAGATGTCATAATGTCGATATACCTACAACAATGACTAGGTAAAAAAGAATTTAACTGGCAACTCAGAAGAATATACAAACCTTTTAAGGAATAATCGCACTAGGAAAAACCAGAAGTTTTATAAAATAGGATTATTGAAATGGCACTAAGAACTGCCTTTTAAAAATACTAAAATGTATATAGAGCAAAACTCCTTTGATTATAACAAGACTTTTCCCCAAGAGCACAACAGCTCAACATTAGACTGTGCTTAAACTCCTTTCTCACTACAAGCTAAAAATTTAACATTTTCATTCCAAATGTACTTTTGTGTCTTCTACCTCACAAATATCTTTAATAAAATTTGTAATACAAGAATATTTAGGGAATTCCCTGGCGGTCCAGTGGTTAGGACTTGGCACTTTCACTACCAAGGTCCAGGTTCAATCCCTGGTTGGGGAACTAAGATCCAGCAGGCAGTGCGGCATGTCCAAAAAAAAAAAAGAATATTTATAAGTACTTGGTTTATGAAAGGATTTTTAAAACATTTCATTTGATCCTCAGATATTACCTCTATTTACTCAAGAAACTGAGGTCCATAGAAATTAAGTAATTTGCCCCACAAACTACATATTATTACACTATTCAAGAGGTTGATTCAGCTGTCCGGAGATTATCAGCAAAATATTTAGTTCAACTAAAACCAACGTCTTTTAACTCTTTCTAGTACACCACAACTCCTTCCCCAAGACTCAGTCCAAATCTTCTTAGTTGGAGCAGTATTATCAACTACTACAAGTAGGTTAACCATCACCAAAGGCCTGAAAATCTTTTCCCTGCACAGTAGCAGCATTTCACCTGCAGAGACTTTTCACTTGCCAAGGATCTTGAACTGCGTAACATTAGTTATTATTCTTGGATCACCTTATGACAAGATCTATTATTATAGTTGAAACTATACCAACAGGAATGCATGGCTGAACCCACTGGTATAATCTCTCAACTCGTATTACTTCTCATTTTTTACTTAGCTAGTCGCCCATTGTTCAATCCTAGATAGAAAAGTAACATGAAGTATTAGACTGACTCTGATATTTTTTCTTGTTACTAACAGAAGCCAAATGCAGTGGCCAAAATACTTAAAAGGAATGGAGAAGCAAGCAATCTTATATACCACCCAAAATACAATGCCAGGACAGAAAATTTATGCCTGCATTCCAACTTGGTCCAAATACATTCCAAAAACAATTTACCAGCAATCCCTTTCCTCAAATTCCCACATTTCTCTCTTATAGATACATTACCATCATTTCCCAAGGTATCCTAAAAGTAACTTATAAGGCACTCTCCTTCATAATGACCACTCTCCTTCATAATGATCATTTCCGTAAAAGAAATGTAAATACAATTTGATAGCCATCAAATTGCAATTGAAATTACTATATTGGGGAGTTTAACTTTTCAAGAAATTCTGCAGAAGTCTTTATATAATATAATCTTTTATTTGCCAGAATTTATGAATGGTAGAGGAGATCTGGGCAGGTAAGAAGAGATATATGCCTGTATCATAACTGCTGTATTAATTTGAGTCTTTGGTAGCCATAATATAATTTTCTCTATAGGTAATATTTTGAACAACTTCACACTTGGGCTCTTCCTAGCTATGTAAATATATTCTGTTAACAGAAACTTCTTCATTTCCATGGAGAATTAAAGAGCAGTCCTGATTTCTTGTAAAGGAAATAGCTATCTGTTTTGCACAATACCCAGTCCACTGTGGCCACCTAATACGGACAAAAAGGGGGGAAAAAAAAGACCTATTTGGAAACGTTTCTTCTCCAGCCAAGGGCTGTTCCCAGATAAAGGCAATGCTCAGAGTACAACAAAAAAACCCTTCTCTGAAAAAAGAAATGTGCCAGAAAGCAGAGGCATGGATCGGGAATAAATAGGGAGGGAGTGAGTGTATGCGCTCAATGAGGGCTGGAGGCAGCAGGCGCAGCGCGGAGATGCTCCAGCGAAAAGAACCACCAGCCGCCGCCGCCGCAGCAGCAGCAGGAAGTTTCAATGGGGCCGGGCAGAGCATGCGCCCTGAAGCCGCGCGGTGGCCTTATGTGGAAGGAGCACCACTTGCGAACACCAATAATAGACCGGCGGCACCAGAGAGAGAAACATGAGCAACAAGCACCTTCTTCAACTGTTTCCCCTCCGTCTGAGCCCCTCCTCCACCCTGCATACTAACCACCCCACCCTACCCTGCAAATGGGAGGGCGACTTCTTCTTCCCCTAAGCCTTATGCCAGGATGAAGGGGGAAGGGACTGGAAAAGTGGGGAGATGCTCTTCTATTATTTGGGGGGAGGTGGGGAGGAGGAAAACTATGGGGGAGGAGAAATTAACCCTCTACCCTCCAAAGTGGAGAAGCTGAACCGACTTCACCCCCCAAAGCGAGAATGGAGGAGGACCCCCTCCTAAGGAGGAGGAGCAAACCTCCGGACTCAGAGGAAGGAGTTTGGGGGGTTAAACCAGCCCTGGAGGGGAAAGGAAAAGAGACCAGAGCCGACTCTCTCGGGGGAGTTCCCACTAGAGGGAGGGAGAGATGAAGTGTCCGCTGCCCCCGCCCACCCAGGTGGAGGGAGAGAAAGGGGCGCCCCGAGAAGATGAGCCCAGCCTCCCCGGAGATGGTAGCGAGGATGGTGGGAGGAGGGGAGGGAGTGAGGGAGGAGTAGAGGAGAAAAGCGCAAAGCTGGCCGGAACCTGCGCTCCCCTTCCCCCGCCACCGAGAGGGAGAAGGATTGGGGGGCCCGGTCCCCGCCGCGGGATAGCAGTCCCAGGGGCGGCCGACCAGCACAATGACCCCTCCCCGCCCCCAGCCCAGACCTAGCCCGCGACGCCCCCACCTCTGCTGGGCGTCGGGCGGAGTGGCTCTATGGGGCCTCCGCCCCGCCTCCCCACTGCCCAAGACCCCGGGGGCTGGGAGGAGAAGATCGGCCGGGCTGAACTGCGCCCCAGCGAGAGGACAGAGCCGCGGAGGTCCGGGGTGTCTGTGAAGAGCGGAGAGAAGGAGCATGCCAGGGCCGCTTCCCGCCGGGCGTTCGGGCCCCTAGCTTACCTTCTCCGTTGCCGACGTCCGGCGGCGGAGCTTGCAGCACCCGCTCCAGCTCGGGGAACGGCAACTCAGGCAGGTCGAGCAGCGGCCCGTAGCGCTCCAAGAAGGAGCAGACTACGGCGAAGTTAGGGCAAGAACCCGGGCAGCCCGGAGGAGCCATAGCCACCGCCGCTGCCGCCGCCGCCGCCATTTTGAACTGGAGGATGGAGGAGGAGGCGATAGGGGGGTGGGGGGAGTTGGGGTGCCGAGGAATGGCAGGGCAACCTTACAGACGACAGGAGGCGCTAGCAAGTGGGCGCCCCTGCGGATCCGAGCGTCTCAGGCACGGCGCAGCGATCCCACAATACAACGGCGGCCCGGAGCAGTCGAGAACCTAGTCAGACGTAGGAAAGAGAGGCGCCCTGTGCCTTTCGCTTTCTGCTCTCTTTCCGCCCCCCTCCCTCGCTCCTCCCACTTTGGGTTCGCCACTGCCTCGTGTGACAAGGGGAATGAAAACAAGGGCTGCGGGGCAGGGAGGCGGGCTGGAAGCTGGAGAGGCGGGAGTTTTAGGAACGGTGACCAATAGGCTTGAAGAGGGCGGAGCTGCACTCGATAACAGGCCAAAAGACTTTTTCAGGGCTGCGCGAGTCGTGGGGGGATCGCCTAACCGGGTCCTCGGGAGCAAAGGTGAGAGGTAAAGCAGGGAGCCGTTCGAGATCGCTGCTCCTTGGAGAGAGGGCGTTGGGTAAGTTTGGGGGGGCACTCCCGGGACAGAAACTGGGTTACCAGATGGTGGGGGAAGTTGAGGAGAGTGAATAAGAAGCAACAAAAGAGCAGAATAGGGGGGAAAAAAACGATTCTGAGAAAAAGGTGGAGAAGGGAAAGGTGGAGAGGTGCCCTGAATTAGGGGTTTGGTTGGAACCTTTGTATGGAGAAGTCTCAGTGAACGTCTGCTGAGGGATACTGCTAAGGTACAAGAACCGCACCTGTGCTGGAAAGCAGTGTCTGAAAACTCTGGGGGACGAGGGCCTGATGGAACGAGGCTCTGCCGGGATCACTAGTCTGCGGAGTTGGGGCCCTGCTAGGAAATCAGGGTCTAAAGGGACCAGGCTCTTCACAGGGACCAAGGTGTGAGAGGACAGGGCCCTGCTGTGGTTGCCAGCGTGTGAGGGGGAGGGGCTTTGTTGAGGCACGAAGATCTGGGGACCAGGCTCTGTAGCAGCCCAAGATCAGAGGGTGGACCAGGACTGCACTGAGGGTGGACATGGTAGGAAACTTTGTGCAAGGGCAAAAAGTTTGTTACAAGACAGGGTTCCGCTTCGTTGGGAGAAGCAATGAGCATTCTCCCACAAAGAATCTCGGAAAAACCATCAGTAATGCAAAGTAGAATGTGCGGCTTGGGATACAATGTGCATTTTGGTTAAGAGCCTGAGCTTTGGAGTTCAGCAAGACTTGATTTCTAACGGAACCGCCTCAGGACATTGCGGAAGATTTTTTATTTCTTTGAACCTCTGTAAAGTCGGGGTGATAATAGTACCTACAACATAGGATTTTACTAGATAATTCACAGTACATTGATTAGCACAGTGCCCTGGCACACTGTAAATACTTTAAAAATATTAGTTGCTACTATTGAAGAAAATTCCTAAAACTTAGATAGAGTTCAGCTATTTGTAATTGATAGTTTACTACTTTGAGCCAAAAATTTCAGTGCGCATTTAAAATTTATATAGTATCTACTTACTAAAAAGAATTTCAAAGTATAATATAAACCATTTAAAATAGGACCATTTATAATTAAAGGAAAATAAAGAAATATATAGGCAAGTAATTATATTGGGAACAGAAAAAATGATTACCACAATTAAAAATTGAATTTTCAAAAAAAAAAAATTGAATTTTCTTCTGCATTTCTAGGTAAAAAAGGGAAAAACTGTAATGTTCTATATCAGACTTATTATCTAAAGAAAGAAAGAATACTCGTTTATCAAGAGAAAAAAATTCTATATTATAAGAGGACTTTATTACCTAGAATACTGATTCTTAATCTCAAATAATATACAAACCCTTTTTGGGACTTCCCCATCAGTCCAATGGTTAAGACTCTGCCTTCCAAAGCAGGAGGTGAGGGTTCGATCCCTGGTCGGGGAACTAAGATCCCACATACCAGTGGGGTGCAGCAAAAAACTTAAAAAAAAAATTACAAACCTTTTTATTAATTTATTTATTTTAAAATTTTATTTATTTATTTTTGGCTGTGTTGGGTCTTTGTTGCTGTGCGCGGGCTTTCTCTGGTTGTGGCGAGCAGCGGCTACTCTTCGTTGCAGTGCGATTATGGTGGCTTCTCTTTGCTGTGGAGCATGGGCTCTAGGCATGTGGGCTTCAGTAGTTGTGGCACGCAGGCTCAGTAGTTGTGGTGCTGGGGCTTAGTTGCTCCACGGCATGTGGGGTCTTCCCAGACCAGGGCTCGAACCTGTGTCCCCTACTTTGGCAGGCGGATTCTTAACCACTGCACCACCAGGGAAGTCCCTACAAACCCTTTTTAAAGGAAAAAAATGTTCTTTTAAAATTTACAAATACTGGGAGGGGGAGGAATTGGGAGATTGGGATTGACACATATACACTATAGATACTATGTATAAAATAGATTACTAACGAGAACATACTGTATAGCACAGGAATTGTACTTAAAGCACTGTGGTGACCTAAATGGAAAGGAAATCCAAAAAAGAGGGGATATATGTATATGTATAGCTGATTCATTTTGCTGTACAGTAGAAACTAACACAACATTGTAAAGATATGCCAATAAAAATTAATTTTATAAAAAAGAAAAATAAAATTTACAAATGCTCTTGAAAATATCAGTTTAAGAAATACTGATGTAATTAAAGTCTATACAGCAATATGAATGTACTTCATGCCATTGAACTACACACTTAAAAATGGTTAAAATGGTAAGATTTATGTTATGTATATTGTGCCACAATAGAAAAGTTTAAAAAGTGCTCGTTTCGGCAGCACATATATTAAAATTGGAATGATACAGAGAAGATTAGCATGGCCCCTGCGCAAGGATGACATGCAAATTCGTGAAGCATTCCATATTTTTATGGGGATATATGTGTATGTATATCTGATTCACTTTGTTATAAAGCAGAAACTAACACACTATTGTAAAGAAATTATACTCCAATAAAGATGTTTAAAAAAAAAAGTTAAAAAAAAAAGAAAGAAAAGTCTCACTTTAGGAAAATGTGATGAATTATCATAGCAAAAGAGAAGTCTTAATTTAATGTGTAGTAAAATATGTTAAACAACACTGAAATGAAACAGAACTAAACTAAAACATATATTGTATACCAGGGAATATAGCCAATATTTTACAATATAATGGATGTAAATATAGTATAACCTTTAAAAATTGTGTTTTAAAAGTGTGAATCACTGTGTTGTACACCTGAAACTTATATAATGTTGTTCATCAACTATCCCTCAATTAAAAAAATAAATAAATAAACTGAAATATATTGGTAGAACTCTCAAACTCCCAAGTATATATATCTCTATACCTGGGGCCCCGAAGACCCCAGTTTAAGAAAAATTTGACCCAGAACTTACCAGTTTTGCAAAGATACAAAAATCTTCATAAGATCATAACTTAATTGACCTTAAATGAAAGGCAGGTACACAATATTAAATAAAATCATATCTTTGTGAATGAATTTTGATGGAAAAAAACCCTTCAAACCAAAAGAAAGATTTAGTTATATCGTTTTCTGAACACTACCCCCCTGCCTCTTTCCTTTCTCTCTCTTCGCTTTCAGCTTTTCCAGCACCTCACCTGCTCTCCCATGGGATTGTAAATATAACTTTCTAAAAAAAAAGCTTTATATAATTTTTTTCTTTTCTCAGTGCTGACACTGTTACTCAAAGCGGGGACTGATAAATAAGGTTAGAGTTTCTGCTTTTGTAATCAAGATTGGCATTAGAACAAAGTCCTTGGGCATCAAAAGTTATATCCACCCAAAAGATGAGAGATGTTGTACTACAAAGCAAGGTTTAGGTCATACCTTCACTAAGTCTGTTCTTGGAAAAAAAATAAATGATAAGCACCGTCTCTTCTTGCCTTGGGCTAAGAGAATTTGTGGGTTACAAGAATTTAATCCCAATTTACATAGTTAAATAATTGCATTATATATATCAAACTAAAAGGTAAAGATAGAAAAAATAAGTAGCTTTAAAAAAAAACTGTAATTGATTTACTGCTACTTCCATAAAGAAGCCTTTAAATAAGCATTAAATTACCTACACTCAGTCTTTATTTATGAATAAGAAATTTCTTAAGATAGTTCAAATTTCACATTCTCTTAGGGGAAAAGACAAAATAGTTTTGCATTCAGAATTAGTGACTAGTTTATTCAAAATACCAAAAAGAAACAAAATGCTCATCAGAAGAAGAATGGGTAAATAAATTGTGATATAGTCTTTCAACAGACTACTACTCAGACTGATACACACTTGATATATATTACAACATAGGTGAATCTCAAAAGCATTTTGAGTGAAAGAAGAAAAACACAAAAGAGTAGGTACTGTAAAATTCCATCAATATGAAGGTCTGGCTAATATATGGGAACAGAAATCAAAAGCTTCTTTTGAGCTTGGAAGGGGATTGACTAGAAAGGTGCACAAGGGAAATTTCGAGATACATTCTGTTTCATGCTTAGCAAGTTTATACATTTGTGAAAACTCTTGAACTCTAAAAGATATTTCTGCATTTAATTGAATGTAATTATGCTTTGATTTTAAAATTTAATGGCTTAGCCTTCAATTTTGTCAAATTACATTGATAACAGTCTGCCGTATAATGGAATAATTTATACATATTTCTGTCTCTCCAACATATTATCTTTGCATTTGTCACACAATTTTTTTTACAGATATTGTAAGCCTGGCAAATGTACTTTGAAGTGAACTGGATTCAGTTGTGGAGCCAGTTTGGGAATTCCTAATTAGTAACAAGCAAATTTACTTAGGTTTGTTTAAAACTCACTTTTACAAGAAATACTTCTAGAAGTATATGGATATGTTATATGTAGTGAAAAAACTGTTAAATGTCAACAGAAGTAGGAATCTATGGTCTTCAAAATAGTTTCATAGGAAAATATATGACAATAAAAAGAAGTAATAAACAAGATTTAATCCAGCCATTTTCTGGTTCTTTCTCTTAATGAAAACTGAATTCTCTGTTGTAATAGAATTGTATTCATTGAAGAAACACTTTTAGAAGTGCCTTACCATCTTTTTTCTTAATTTTTTTTTATGCATCGGTCTATTCTTATTTCTTAAGAGCAAGGCTGAAACCAATTTCTCTGATGAAATAATTATTTTTACTG